GCACGACCCCTCCACAAAGTGTTTGAAAAAGAAAGAAAATCATCCTTGTGAAATTTGAATCAGGTTGGCGCTTGTCTTCTGACTTGGCAACTGAAAAGAAAATAAATGTCTAGAAAATGACGATGGCAACATATGTGCAAATGCGCTCGATACAATTGATGTATGGATCGTTACAAGAGCTGCACGAGCCCTCCACAAAGTGTTTGAAAAAGAAAGAAAATCATCCTTGTGAAATTTGAATCAGGTTGGCGCTTGTCTTCTGACTTGGCAACTGAATACAACAGAGCTAACTCAATATTTTCAACACGGGGGCAAGTTTTTATTAGAGCTGCGAATGCAGCGAAAGGTGTGAAATCGCTAAAGAACCCAGACCGTCGACGAGGTTGGAAAGTGACTGTTAGGTTGGATAAACCAGAAAGAGCCCAATGGCAGTAGCGTATCTGAGACGTGCTATTCGAGAAGGTGGAAACGCTCCCCAGTGGCCTGAAGTCCTGGGAAAACGAGTTTGTCAGTGTAATTTGGGGCCTCAGAACCAGTTACTTGGTTTTCTGTTATTTCTAATGGGAAAAATAGGCTCACTTCTCAAACTTTTCAGTGTTCGAACATGAATTTGGAACAAATGGAGTTCCACCGACTCCCGCACTATCATTGTATTCCTCCTGACGCCCGACCCCTCTGGCATAAAAAGAGGCAGTGGACCAGATTTGGCTGGTGGGCTGCAGTTCTAGCACAGTGGGTTGGGTCGTGGGGTTTATTTTCAAGCAAATGAAAGCATTTCAAAGGGACTTAGATGCAGCTCTCCTTCCCCGATAACTGGTGTTGTGATGCATTTGAGTGACGGGGTTAGCGAAGAGTGTTAACTGTACACAGACCACCAGGAGGATGAACACATCCGTCCTAGAAGCGCAGTTGGAGCGCTCCCTAGAAGGGTGAATGGCAAGACTCCGTGTCACGTATTTGGGACATGTGGTCATGAGGGAGCAGTCCCTGGAAACAGGACACCACCCTTGGTGAAGTCAAGGGGCAGCGATTGAGGCAGGCCCTCAAGGAGATGGCTGTAACCAAAGGCTCAGACATGGCAGTGGCCGTGAGGGTGGGGCAGGGCAGGGGAGGGGGTCCTTGTGACTCAATGGCCCCTACCAACCACAGCAACGCCCTGGTCAGCTGAAGCTCGGAAACCCGAGTGATTTACTATAACACCGTGAAACCTGGAGAGTCTACCCGTAGATGCCAAGAGCAAACCAGTCAATCCATCAATTAACAACGTGGAGGAATTTGGCTGTTGTGACAGCTCCGGTGAGAAGCAATGGGCAACAGAGGGAGCGGCAATGATGCAGCGCAGAGAATCCTGGGCTTGCACTGTGGGAGGGCAGGAGAGAGGCCTGCTTGACCAACCTTGGCAAGAGAAGGCTCCTGGGCCCATGCTTGATCACAGAGGTCAGCAAATTTTTAGAAAGGGCCAAGCAGCACATATTTTCAGGTTTGGGTGGGGAGGGTCATACAAAGGTAAGTCAAAAAGGATTGCTCCTAAGATTTGAGTTCATACGTGCACACATGTATTTCAACGTGTGTGTTTAAACATGTCTCCGTGATCAGCAAACAGCCGCAGGCAGGTTGTCTCAGTGATACACTGGTCTCATTAAGGGACCTTAAAAATAAAAATAGTCCAATCAAAATAGCAGCTTCTGTTGGGATCTGCTGGGCCAGAAAAATTCAAGGCGGAGATGACAAAATAATAATAATTTATAAATTATCAAGGGTTCATGGTGGAGGGGGTGGAATGAGGAGCTGATACCAAGGGCTCAAGTAGAAAGCAAATGTTTTGAGAATAATGATGGCAACAAATGCACACATGTGCTTGACACAATGGATGGATTGTGATGAGAGTTGTATGAGCCCCCAATAAAATGACTAAATTTAAAAAAAATCAAGGCAGAGGGGTCAACGCAGAAGTTTATGGCAACTGTTTGGAGGACTCCGAGGGGTCAATCGATAGATTATCTTGAAGGACATAAGATGATCATGAAGACGTTTTAAGGAAATGGAAAAGTGAATTAGCGAGAAAAGGGCCGAGAATGTGAGAAAGTTACACTGAGGGATTTCCCATCACAACAAACCACCTGCTCCTTCTTCTAGGGTGGAAAGGCTGTTGCCCAGCAATTCCCTCAGTAAAGCTTACCCCATCCACCCTGCTTCCCAGATCGTGCCCCCTTAAAACTGCTTTGCCTCCCAAACTCAAAGGACAGTTAACACAAGTACCTTGAAGAGGCCCAGACTGCCGTTTTGACATGGTGGAAATCAACACCCCAGAATTCTTTAGAGGAAGGTTTCCAAAAACCGAAGCCCACTGCTAGGAGTCGATGCTTGCTCATAACAACCCTGTGTAGGATTTCTGAGACTGTAGATCACTGCGGACGTAGATATCCTCATTTTCCCCATCTGGGCGTAGCTGGTGGGTTTGAACCACTAACCTGGCAATTAGCAGTCCAACCCCTAAGCCCAAGTGCCATCAAGGTCATATATGCAAGACCGACTGCCAGCATCCTGCCCAATGAGGAGAGACTGGAAGCACTCCACTTTCGAATGGGGAACCAGACAAGGATGCCTTTATCAACTCCTTTATTCAACATTGTGCTGAAAGTGTAGAAAACTAAACAAAAATCCTCACTGCCATCGAGTTGATTCTGACTCATAGCACCCCTGTAGGCCAAGGTTGCCCTGGTGGGTTTCCAAGACTGTTACTCTCTATAGGAGTAGAAAGCCTCATCTTTCTCCTGAGGAGCAGTTGGTGGTTTTGAACTGCTAATCTTGCCTAATATGTAATCCACTACACTACCGGGGCTCCTTAGCCAGCGATATTAGACAACAAAAAGAAGTCAAAGGTATCCAAATTGTCAAAGAAGAAATAAAACTCTCTCTATTTACAGATGATATAATTCCATACGTAGAAAACTCAAAGTCTTGACCAAAAACTTGCTGGAAACCATCAAAAGATTCAGCAATATGGCAAAGCTCAAGATCACCATCCAAAAATGAATCAGATTCCTGTACACTAACAAAGAGAGCTTTGAAAAGGAAATCAAGAAAACAATGCCATTTACAACAGCTACGCCAAAGATGAAATATTTAGGAATAAACCTAACCAGACAAACCAAAGAAAGCTACAAAACCCTCTTACAAGAGAGCAAGCGCCCTGCATAAATGAGAGAATGCTCATTGCTCACAGATAGGAAAGTTTACTATTGTGAAAATATCAATGCTACACAGAGCAATCTATAAATATAATGCAATCCCAATCCAGATCTCAGGTTCATTCTTTAGAGAAATGGAAAAATCAATTACCAACTTCATATGGAGAGAAAAGAGCTCGAGGATCAGCAAAGATCTATTTAAGGAGAACAAAGTGGGAGGCCTCTCACTCAAACCCCATTACACGGGCAGAGGACTCAGCACAGCCTGGCACTCGTCCAGTGACAGGCACGTCAAGCATGGAGCAGACTAGAGAACCCAGGAGGAGATCCTTCAGCCTTCAGACAACATTAAATGGGGAAGAGAGCCTCTTCACCGACTGGTGCTGGCAAAGTTGGATGTCCATTTGCAGAAGATTCTGACAGGAACCACACCGCATCCCCATATGCAAAAATGAACTCAGGATGGATTAAAGGCCGAAATGTAAATCCGGAGCTCTAATGATCATCAGTGAGAAAATAGGGAGAAACCCAAGGGCTCTAATACATGGAATAAACATACAACCAAGCACGAGAACACACACACACACCCAGCAGAGCACAAACTAAATGACAGGGAACTACTAAGATTAAGACATTTATGTGCATCAAACCGACTGGTATCAAGTTAATTCCAACTCACAGCGACCCCATAGGACAGGGAGAACTGCGCCTGTGGGTTTCCGAGACTGGACTCTTCATGGGAGCAGAAAGCCTCTTCTGTCTCTCAGGGAGCCACGGATGGTTTTGAAATGTGCAGTTAACGACCCAACTTGTCACCCACTCCACCCCCAGGGCTCCTCGCTGTGCAACAAAAGAGTCAAAAGAGACCCCCCAGACTGGAGAAACCATTTTGGC